CCAAACCGCCATCCCCTCTGTGCCGAAAATCATTTAATACTGGGGTCTTTTCCACAGACTAGAAAGCATTCAAAGTTATACCGCTTCACAAAAGCGGTAGCGGTGCACTTGCGACCAACTGCCTATTAGACGGTCGCAAGCCAATCTGTTGCAGGGTCAAGGAGAATGCCACCAAAAAGGCATTAATGAGTTATTTGAAGTCCTACAGCCTCTTATTCAGTGCACGATAGGCTTTCATAGGGTAAGGTCGTGTGTAACGAATTTGCTATTTACGATGCACAGTTGGACAAAAAGACTCGATACAAAAGGCGCTGTGCATGCGGTCTACATTGATTTCCGGAAGGCATTCGACAGTGTTCCACACCAACGTCTACTTTGCAAGTTGAGGATGATCGGTATCAGGGGCAAACCTTTTAAATAAATCGAGAATTCCCCTGTCGGACATTCCCAATTTGTTTGTGTAGAGTAGCACCAGTCTCGGCTGACAATCATAGATTGTGGAGTTCCACAAGGCCCGGCGTGCGAACCGACCCTCATTCTCTTGTTAATTAGTGTGCACCATGATTATGCCATGTTTGCAGATGGTATAAAAATCTTGGAAGACATCCACAATGCTGCCGACGAAACTAGATTTCAAGAAAACCCTAATCGATTGAGAATATTGAACAACAAAGAAGCAGGGGTAGGAAATGGTTAACCAGTAGCCAAACCTTCATCAGGGACATGTCGATCCTGCAAAAAAGGAAAAAAACTTGATAGATTCAGGCGATATCTCATCCACGTGAAAGGGAACAAGGAAAGGGGAGGAGGTGCCCCGCTTCTCGCCTTAAACTGTTAATGACACACTTATACCTAAGACGGTATAAACACTACTAAGGGATGAATTTTGATGTCTTTGAACAGCAGAATACACTTACGGAGCTAACCGTAGACTGCAGGCTCGTCTTTCTCATATCGAACTTTTCTACTATGCAAATGCGCGTCCTCCGAATTCGATTCGAATCTCCAGGTCCCCTAGTTTTCTTCGATTTTGGTCGGTAGTGTAGGGCAGACTCAACGTCGTGTGCAAATAAACATATAGATTGTAGGTTGGATACCAGTGTCGCAACATTCCGATTCGCCGCGAATCGGAGTGTTGTGACATGAAAAATAAACGCCTACTGAATGAATTAATTAGGTATAGTATTTTAAACTTTCGGTGTCTTCAGCTTTTCCTGTCCGGCGTGCGTGTGTATTTCTTCCAAAGTATTGCTTGTGTTTGTGCGCAGTACTATCACTTATCCTAATTTGATGTACTTATTCAAATTCTCGCGGATATGTAATTTTTTTAATTATTGCGCACTATATTCCTTGCTGTTTGGCACGTTTTAGAGGTCCCACCCGTACAACCCATCCTACCACCATTCCCGTAAGACAGGTAGACGGGGGAAAAAGTTTTCTTCAGTGTTGCGACACTGTATTCCCGCCAGTTTGTATTCAGATTTCGAGTACGACAACTTGAAATTTCTACTTTTCTTAGAATTCTTTGGTCTCGAAGTTATTTCCCACTGTGTGAGGAGGAAGATTCCACCCGAATACTCCAAGGAACAGTACCAGTGATTAATCCTCTCATTCGCATTGGTGAAGTATATCACAAATGAATCATCAAGAGCTCTCATCAATAAAATTGTTTTGCAAATCCGTTCTGCCTGATAGGTGAGAGAGAAACGTTTGGAAGGAGGATTACGCCTTCATGTAGAGACAAACGGCAGTGGTATCATGGGAGACAGAACTGCATGTTGGGGCAAAGAACAAATGGAATACTTTCAGTCCGTTACTGAAAGAGATTGTTTATTCCAACTGTCCTCTCAGAAGGAAGACAATCATAAACCGTCAGAGGTTGATAAACTCGAACTTAAAGGTCTCTCAATGAAAAAGAATCGCATGTGGAGGCGTTACCCACTACGTGGTTCCGAAGAACACTTACAGGAATATTAGCAGCAACGCAATGTTTGTAAAAGTAAGGTCTCCAAACTGCAAATGAAGTTCAAACTGAACATACTGCAAAATTCGTTGGAACATCCTAAAATTCTATATGGCTATAAACGGAGTACTAAAATGACTCAAGAGCTGTTCCCTGTCCTTAGGTCTGCAGATGGTAAAGTGGAGACTGATGACCAGGTCAAAGCGTCCCTCCTTTCTTACTTCTTTTAGTTCGGCCTAACCCGGGAACATAATTCTATATTTGCCTATCCGTCTGTTCGCCAACCAACTTCTCATCCTACTCCCCTTCCCCTTCTTACCCCCCCCCTACCCTCCTTAATCAAGGGATCACTCTTTTCATTGATCATAGTAAGGACCGAACTACTCCGACTGAAACCTGCTAAATTACCTGGCTCATATAGAATTCCCACATTAGCGCTTTGTGAACTTGCTAATTGACCGAGAAAACCATTATCCGCAATATTTCAGAAGCCATTTGAAGAAGGCGAGTTTCTCGAAGAATGAAAGTGCGCACTCCTCACTCCTATCCATAAAGGAGGCTCACGACTTGACAGCGGAAAGTATCGTCCCGTCAGTCTTACTTACATCGAATATGAAATAACGGAACGCATTATCAAAAGGTATTTAATGCAGAACCTGAAAAAAAAACAAAATACTATGTGATGTCCAACATGCTTTCGTCCAGGGCGCTCCTGCCTAACGAATGTTCTTTGCTCGCACGAGAAATGGACACGAGCCACCGATAAGGGTTTTCCAGTGGATGTTATATTTTTGTCTTCAAGAAGACGTTTGACGGTGTCCCACACAGGCTTCTTTTTCCGAAGATCTAGGATGTAGGAATTCAAGGAAAAACGTTTCGATGGCTCTGGAGTTTTTTGTTCTTCGGAGTACAAAGATATGTCGTTGGTAACTCCGTCTCGGAAGGGGCAAAGGTTGAAAGTAGTGACCCCCAGGGTCCTGTCTAAGGCCCAGTACTATTCCTGATTTATGACAATGACTGAATCAATGAAGTGAATTGTGAAGCTCTCATATTCGCGGAGGACATTAATATATGGAGTGAAGTCAAGTGCGATGATGACGCAGAGAAGTTGCAGTCTAACTTCGACAAACTGCATGGTTGGCCGAACAGATGACTTTTTAAGTATAACGTGTCCGAATGAGAGGTCTTGCACCTAAATACCGGCCAAAATGCCTCTCCCAAACATCAGTACTATATTAAAGGGACGGTGTTAGAAACTGTAAAAAGACACAGAGATCCCGTTGCATGGACGACCACAAATCTATTGCCATCAGAACACCGCTGGAAGATGGCTCGGAATGCAACTTTACTTTAAAATGGGTCAGACGTGCATTTAAAATACTTCTTCCCCAACTGTCCGAAAGATTTTTGGCGTCTTTATGGGACTAAAACTGGAGAATGGAATGCCAGCAACTTCACCATGGGTGAGGAATGATATTGACATATTCGAACAAGTGCACGGCAGAGTAACGACGATGGTCAATGGTTTAAAACATTTGCTGCGCCAGTAGGGAGTGAATGTGCTTGATTTATCGCCTCTATCTTACAGGCACGTAAACTGCAGTAAACACTGGACATTCCAGATTGTTCGTGGCCAAGATTGCTCATTAAGAACGGAGGACTTCTTTGAATCTGCCCGTAAAAACCAAATTCGCCGTCATGACTAAGAAGTCACGATTGAACGCATGAGGCAAGACCGTGAATAGTTTTTATTCAGCCAGCGAGTTGTCCGACCGTGGAACTCGCTTCCAAGCAAGATCCTGACGCATACAAAATTTGCATGCTTAGAAGAAAACTTGTTCGCTTCATTTTTGTCAGAAGCCGGCTTTTGCAACAAGACTGCCCACGGCCAGTTCTGTAAAACGCTCTGTTATAAACAAACTTTCCCTACTAACTTCCAGTGAGCAGATGTGCCTCGCTATTATTAAAATTGTATTGTGATTCGATCACATTGTAAATGTCTTCAACTTTATTTTAAATGCAAACCTGCGAAAGTATCGTACGTAGATAGGGTCGTCAAGGGCTCCGCCCCCATTTCTTCAAACACAAAGCGCGACTTTTCTCGAGATTTGGTGACATTTAATTGTCTGACTGTTGAACGTATCATTTATTACAGTATATCATGATGACGAGGTTGAAAGCTCAGACTAAAACACGTATATGCAAAGCGGTAGCGCACGCATCTTCTTTGTTATTTGGTTGGTTTGTAAGAAAACCATCGTGGCGCTCCTCCCCTACGACCTGCGCATGCTGATGTTGCCGTAGCGCCTGGCAGGATGGAGGATATGACGGCTAGTCAACTGAGCCGGAAGTCCGGCTGACATGCCGGCCATTTGGATACACTATTTGGTTGGTCTGTGAAAGCAGTTCCCATACGTCAATATACTTTTTATCCGCTTTGCTGATGAATTCATACTTGAAGACTAGATCAGTAAATCGTTTGAGAGCGACAAGTGAGAAGTCAAGTTCAGGGGAAGACTGTCGAACATTGAAGAGTGTTCATTAAGATAAATCGCACAGATGTATTTAAAACAGTTTTCGGCAGCTACATCGTTAGTCACTATAGCCACCTTGTCGGTTCCAACATGAAATGTATATTTCAAGTACATACGTGATCTTCACTACGCGGGAGAAGGTGTATATAGTCGTTTTGCACGAACAGCATATGACGGTCACTGAAGAGGGCGAACAGGCCGTTAAAAGAAACCTGGCATTTTGCGAGACCTGACAGCATGTCTGGGCAGTAATCGTACTATGACCTACCGACAGTTCCGTTAAGAAAGTGGGACTGTAGTTTGGTGATACGTTGATAAAGTTTCCAATGACCTCTTAAAGTTTTCTCATCATTGCACAAGTTCGCTATCTTGTTTGATTCAACCGATTTCCTACCAATTATTTTCGTTCCTGGAATACTGACATTCTAATTTGCGCAACACAGACACCAAATTAGTTACCATGTTGTGAGCCCAGTTCATCACATTTGGCGGTATTTTAAATCATGTCTTTAGGATATATCGAGGGTATGTCCAGTTAAAACATGAACAAAAGGTTTGAGTCTTCTGCAGTTAAATCATCTATTGTTGCACTTTTTAACTTTGTTTTTCAGTTGTTGGTGCTATATATCTCCCCCGTTTATTAGCGATAGTTTAGCCTCTCACGACCGAACACGTGTCACCCGATTGGACATTCCCAAAGGTTTTATTTGTTATTTAGATTATCCCTGTAAAAGCATTCCCGATGTCTAGCGTTTACCTTGGCATAATGGGGGGATACGAAGATATTGCGGACAGCATGGACACCCTAACTAATTTGTGCATTCTGTGCTCGTGGATGCGATGCGCCTGTTCACTGTCGTGCCTGTTCACAGAATCACTTCAGATTTTCGTGAGACAACGGAAAAGCGTCACATATAGGTAATTAAATGCAGAATTAGGCGCTTTGAAAAAAACATACTTTCTTGAAAAGTCTGGTTGACTGAGCTGCACACAGTCCCTAGCAGGAAAAAGAGCTCTGGACGAGCTCGCACAGAGTTCATTTCACGAGATATGCGAACTATTTTTGTGCTCTTATGTGATTGTTGGTCCCAGCCCGCGTTTTGTTCCAGGGCTGGTTAGGGCTTTTATCGAATGTCCCTGCTCACAAGTAGATGCATAGAATCTGTTCTCGGGACAAGATACGAGGGGTTTAAAGTCTTAAACTATGGAGACGAGGATCATTTCATGTATCCCACAGTTTTCATTAATCCTGCGTGTTTGCATGCAGTCACACCGCCTGTTTATGCGTTTTCTGGGTCTCTCTTCTCTCCCTCCCTCCTTCCCTCCCTACCACACACACTCTCTCACACGTAAAAGAGGTCGTAGGATAATGTCATCTAGTACAAGCCGATTTTTCCCAATCTTGGAGAGAGCGAGAGATCAAATTTTTCATTTAATATCGAGTGCGTTTTTTAATTTTTATAATCAGTGTCGAATCTGGGGATGGGCTCGTCCAAATGGAAGTTCAAACCGAGAAACTTGCGTTCTTTAGCGACACGCCAACCGAATAAGCTATTGCACAGTCTGTGTTAATGACGTTTAGTCCTTCATTCTGTTTTCAACTGTTAGCTTCTGTTTTATCCACCGGTGGGCTTTCGTTCTTCAGCCTTATCTCACTACGTTATAACTCAGTACGCAAAAACCTAATAAATAAGGGCTTGTTTTATACACTGTTGATAACTCTGAGACGACTCATAACAATCACACCTGTGGCTTTCTTACTACTGCCATTTGCCACTCCGTTATCATCAGATTTTGAGAATTTGGCAGCATTGTCTGGCTGTTGATAGTTTGAAAAGGAATCGTCTTTCATATGACCTTTAGATTCTCGCGTAAATGCAGAACTCTTATTTACGTTTCTACGGGTGGTGGTATATTCATCTGCTCCGTCGAACTTTTTAAATAGATAAGTACATTTGAAAAGTCCGTCACTAAGTTTCTAGTTTCAAAACACACTTTTTCCACAGTACTTTCATTTGGATCAGTATTTTACAGTGAATATCATTTTGACAGAAGTTTAAGTCAACCGTCGAAAGTTGCGAATCTCTCGTAAACTACTAGAAAGTTTTATAAAACTTAATGGAAACACCGGCTTCATAATCCGAAAGTTTACTATCGTTTGTGTTGCAAATTTATTTCAAATCTATATTCTACGTAGTACTATTACCCCAGGCTTACATATCTTTCGCTATTCCTCGAATGTTTGAATATCTCGATGCTTTCTAACGCAAGTCACATAGCACTGCATCATGCATACCATGGATGTTATTGTGAATCGGAGGGCACTGAACATCATGGCGCATTTGCCTTAGATATGTCGTATGATTTATAGTCCAAGTACTTACATAGTGTTTCCACATCATCTCTCACTTGTACTTGCGTGAATTCTCAAGTCCTCGATCTTAACTTTTTTTCGCCTGTCACCATGTCCACACGCAGTCCATTACATTATCAGCCTGACTGGTGACTAAAATACAAAGGTAATTTTCATGTTTTTACAAAATGAGGTGAGCTTCAATGAGTTTTCAATATTCAAATAAAAGAAGAAGCCTTTTTTGTGAGAGTAATACCCACAGCAGTTTGTTTTGAAAGTTAGAGGGATTTGTTATAACTGGAACAAAACCTAGCGGTCGATATCTTGAATGATTGGAATCAATTTTAACCTATCGTCTGAAAAACCGTCTTGTCAGAAAATTAATGTAGCAAGCTCTCTATTTAGTTGGCAATATGGTGGGGTTCTATCGTCTTTCTGTTCTCTGGGTGTCTCTTATTTATTTCTAACTCTTTGACGTGGACGTAAGCCACTGTGGATTCGCTATATATTGCCGGAGCCCATTAGCTAAGTCTCTCCTGCTCGCAAACGCTTACTCATACGCATATCTGAAAAGACGGTTTTTACTTTTTTAGTTTTCTTTGACCTTTTTTTCGTTGTTGGTATCCGCGGAGACCGATTTTAGTACATTAAATCCGAAAGCAGTCCACTTGATAGAACTCATGTTGTTTCTCGAACGTTAATGGACTAAACGGTCAATAACTCGTAGAAGTTACTGGCTTTCAAATAAAGTCACCCCTTCCGGTCAGCATCTTACCCGCAAGTTTTCTGTTTAAACGTCCCGAGTGCTGTAAACCATTTTTCCAAGTATCTGTTGATCGGGAAACCTAACGGGATTGGCCAGAAAGTCTTCAATACTCTTAATAAACGAAGAGCTTTCGTAATATGAGATCTCTTTCATTTTGCGAACAAATCCGTAGAGGTCTTGTTGTAAGCGAGCTGTCTTATGAAATGCCGGGTCAGCAGCATAACTGTATACAGACATATATACGGAGCGCAATTTTGCCAGACGCTGACAAGACCTACTTTCTTCCTATTTTCCCCCTTTTATTACCTGTTCCTAGCAGTAGCAAAACTGCGGAAGCTGACGAGTACCTGCTTTTAGAAATGGCCATAATATCATCTATGGCATAACATGACGTACTAGTTCAAGGCTACCCTATTACAACTGAATTACCTAAATTTCTTTCCGGAAGAACATTTTGAATAAAATGGGGACAGTTTCAGAAAGTGAAAACGGCGATTGCTGGTGCACATTTGTCGAGATGGGGCTTCTGGCTGTCACATTTAATTCGAGGCGCCCCCCGTAAACTCCAGACGTTTCGCCTGAATTTATTTATTCATGGCTTTTGCGTTTACGCCATGCTTGCAAGGGCATTGCAGTGGAAAAATATCAAGAGACTGGCATCGATGAAAGCAATCTTGCATAAGTACTATTGAACATCTTAGATTTCCTCATCTCTCTCAGCAACATCTGAGTCTTCTTTTGCAGAACTCTGCAACAACAGGCAAATTTTTATAGTTCTCCTGAAGGAGAGTTTGTGCAGCTCAAAAGACCATGTCCGCGTTGTTACCGGCCAAACCCACTTAACTGGCTGTAAACATTTGCCGACAAACGGACGATCAGATAGAGTGAAACTGCCTAGTAATTTCAGCGGGATTGGGTTTTCAGGTTGTTAAAATTCTTTGGCGGTTTGACATTCAGAAGCGCCTTGTAGCCTCCCTGTTGTAGTCTGCATTGTACTCATTACTGCCCTTTTTCTATTTATCGACGGCCGGTTTACCTTTTCCAGTTGTCATTAAGAAAGTTGTTTTACCTAAGGCACTAGGCGCAAATCTTTTGCCTTCTACAGAAGAAGGCAAATCTACTTACAGGACACATATTTTTATGAATTTTTCAGCGGAGCGTAAAACCGAAAATTCCCCTGGAACAAATCCCGTAAACAATAAATAAGCTAGTCCGACCGTGTCGACAAACACCTGAATAGGAGTATTCCACAGTTTTTCTGAAGAAAACCTGGGGTTTAACGTCTTCGAGGAAAACACTGACCTTTAAAGTTCCGGTAGCTTCTGTTTCGTGGCTCGACTGACGAAATATACCAATTATCGTTTCTCATGCTTGTAAAAACTGTTATTTCTCGACGTCTACTCATATGTAGGCCTTGGAATCTTAAAACACAGTATTTTGGCGAGATGCATATTGTAGCCGTAGAAAACGCAAACGTATAAACTTTTATTAGGTATTGGTTACTGTTTAGTGATGTTCTTTAATTCGCCTTAGCAGAAACATGGTTGAGATGGGTGAAAATACGAGCTTTGGGAGGCACTTGAGATGCAAAAGACTTGGTTGTTTGAACAACAATTTTCCAACACCTATTTTGACTATTTTTGTTTGTTTGTATGGTTTTTATACCTAAGCTGCTGTATAATTATGTAACGAAAAATTTCCAGTTAACCCAAGTTAACATTTCTCAAGCCAATTAACTAGTTTAAACAAGTTGCAGGTGACAAAGTGAGACAACTTCAGATTCGAATCGAAAATTTCCCTCAAATTGGCGTTTGAGAATAGACAGGCACTGGGCTCAGCAATGTCTGGTAAGGTTGCAAGGGGAAATTAAGAAGTTTGTTGATAAAACACCAAAAAACAATTCTTATATTAAAAAAGAGAGCAGTTCCTACTGACCGTTATATTCAAGACTGGGTATAGAGCAGTCCTTTGCACATTGTGCTGGCACCTTTCTTCGGCAACGGAAATATGCCTAACGATCGTCTATTCTCAAAAGAGATCTCATCCTTAGGAAGGAATATGTCACATTACCATACTTAAGACAAGCTAAGGCATAGGGGAGATTGCCCTTTTGTCCACCCTATATTGAGTTCCTGGCGGTGAAGGTTACGAAAATGTGCTCCCCCTATAACGTCATCAGAGTTTTGCAAAAACGTTGATGACGATAATACTTCCTCTCTTTATATATTGTCTCAGCTGTTTCAGGTATTAACGTTGGTTGTCCTATTTTAACTTAAGTGTTCGTCCCTATTGCGGCAGTAATTGTCCATTTAAAATGTTTTGGGGGTATAGAGAATCGGCGGATCAACTCTGTCAGTCCAGGAGTTTGGGACGGCTGTAACACTTTTAGGTTGGCTTGGAAGGTGGGGATGGCGGACAGTAGACTGTTGTAAGATTCATTTTTACCAGCGTCGTCGTACGCGAGTTTTTGGTCGGCAACTGGAGTCAACATGTCGTCGACTTAAATATGAGCGATCTGAAAAAAAGAAAACCTCACCAAGTCATCACTACATCAGCCCCATGACTGAATGGAGCGTAAAATTAAGCTGATGAAGGCCTACACGGATTTAAATTTGTTAACACTAATTGACAAAATCCAATCTGAGGGTTTCCGTTTTCCGAACCCTTCTGCAAACTCAGTAGCCTGCTGTCCGTGTTCCTGAGCGAGAGATCAGGGAGCAGACCATATGTAGCACTCGTGAACGGGCTGTTGACCTTTTTCAGCGATTGCGTCCGCAACCATATACAGTTCTTTTGGAATTTATTTTGGCCTCGAGAGACGGTGAGCATGGATATAGTGGGAGAGACTGATGCTGCGCAAACCAGTCTTGTTGTGAACACATTCAGGTGAAAACCACCGCTGCACCTTATCCTGCATGGTGTAGCCCTCATCGATCGCGATGGGCGAACTACAACATTGTGTGCATGCTTCAAATGAATGGGAGAAGTCGATTTCGCATCGGATTTCGGACTAACACGTGACCAGTCGTCTAGCCTTGTCCTGCCATTGGAGTATGTTAGTTACGAAGGGGGTGGGCGATGTCTGTATTTTTCAGGAAACCACACCCTCGTTTACGTCAATTTTAAAGGACAAAAAATGCTTCAATGATCGGGGTTATTCTGTCCAGCGAGCGGGTTGTTTCGCCCTAACAGAAGCAATTTAGTTGGATCCTGTGGACGCTCTAGTACTTGATATGTCGTAAGTTGTCAGGATTGTTTAAAGTAGAGGTTCTAGGCGTAGCAAGCAAATTGAGGGGATCCTATTCATAATCGTCAAGAAGGCACACTTGCGCAACTTTGCCGCTTCTCACTCACGCTGTCTAAGTGCGCATGAGGTCACATGCGCGTACGCACCTGATGACCGCCAGACAGGCGTGCAACAACTGCAAAACTGCTTCCCGCGGGCTGAAACCAGTGAGCAGATACGATGACTCAAGCGTCGTTGGTCTCGTCTGTAGGCCTGATATTTCACAGGCTGCGAGAAGGCGGTTAAAGTAACGGCGACGGAGTCACAGTAACTGGGGCCATATGTCTCACGCGGTCCAAAAGTATGTTACCGCCATCGTCTCCGTGGATTAGAAGCATGTCCCTGAAGTTACGGTGCTAGCTGAAGACCACGGAATACCGGAGGAGCATTGGTTCGCTCAAGTCCTCTGTGAGGATCGAAAAAGGTAATTGCTTGGTGACATCACGGAGAAGAAAGGCGCGTTCCTACTTGGATACAGTTGCATTCAGTTTTCATTTGTACAGCCCAGTACCCGGCTGAATATCTAGTGCGATATGTATCTGTGCGTGGCCTTTTTATTTCACAGCATGTACGGATAGCATTTTGACATTTTACGCCTTCCATCCCGAAATAAAAAAAACATGTGTATATAGTTCGTTAAAGAAGACCGCTTTCGGAGAAAACGTGTGTGAACTATTGAAATCCGACCGGATAAAATTAGCCAAAATGTATAGTTAACCGTCACAGTATAAGCTTGATGAAAATCTGTCGTAGAGGTTGTTTTGGAACTTGGAAAACTCATTAGAGAAATCTAGAAAAACCCGAAAAAGTCACGAACCATATCCATAATCTTCCTCAGCACTTAATAGTTTCACATAAACGACACTTTAAAAACTGAAGCATGATATAAGAGGGGCGGGCTCTGCAGACGCCGGTATTAACATGAAACTGCTCGCCTTCCTCGCCCAGTACCAAAGTTTGCGTCCGGCTAACTTGTTACTGTGCGTGGCCTGGCTTCCACGATGAGCGTTGTATCAACGCCAGTGAAGAATGGTTGCAAGTAGCTTCCCAACAGTGTCGATCATGCTGGCGAATCCTGAGTTCTGTTCGCCTCTATGAGGACTCTTTCCGGTTTGACTCTGTTTGCTGCTCCGTTCTCACTTCCGATACTCCTCTTTTTCCGAGACGCTGGGTTATTTCCCAGTTTTCAGCAGCAGTAGCCGGTGCACAGCGCTACTCCGTGGAAGTAAACAGTTAGAATGGGTGCTCAGGCCAGCTACTTCATTTTCTAATAAAAAGTAGTGTCATAACTTTGTTGTTTTGACCATCTTACGGTATTTCCTCAAGTATATGGGGCGGAATTCCTCTCCTTCCACATCATGTATTACTACTTATACAATCTTGAGCTGCTTATAGATGTACACGTTTAATCTTTTCCGACTTCAAAATGTCAACACGTGAAATTTTATAGAGCATTCCTCTGAATGCCTTGTCTTCTCCCCAACATATTGACATAAAAGCGTCGACAATAGTGTCAAACGTGATCAAGAAGTAGGAAACATGGACTGATCCTTCCTGATTAAATACTTTGCCAACTACTGTTGACCGACAGGAACCGATGCGATGTGAATGATTTTACCCATGAAGGAGCTGCTTCCATCATATCTGCTCCGACCGACTTATTTGGAGTGCTGCAAGTCTGCACCCGAGGCTGTTTCAAATGTCACAGCAAGACACAACGCTCTACTAGGCAGATTTTTTAATCATTGTTTTAAAGATGAGGCTGTTTTGCTCCTAAAATATGCCATTGTGGCATTTCAGCTTCGCAGACAAACAAATCGGAAGGAGTTAAGGGCGTAAATGGGCCTATTTTTTCTCCAAACTAAACCTACAAATCGGCATGTTCTTTCAGGTTACTGGTTACCTGCAATAGTCCCCCTGGACACTGACCAATTCAGAGTTTGTTGCTCTCCAGTGTAGAAGAGCCAATAATGCATCGATAACCATTTCTCACCAATTTGACTAAACCTCTCATGTGTACCTCTCCCCTTCCGTTCCGTATGCGTACCTTAACAAGTAACGATCCCAGGTAGTTTAGGCGATCGTTAAACTTCGGTTGTAAGACAATGCCTTTGAATTTTAGTCACCGTCATTAGTACTATTATTATCTTCATTACCATGACAACGGCCATGTTGGTGCTACTTGCGATTTTGATAATACAAAAACCCCGACTGTTGTTTGTTTGCCAGTAACGTACATTACCTCAGAAAAATCGCTACAATAGGGTGGCCAATCTCACTGAAACTAGTGCAACGTGCTCGAAGTCGGTTTAGCGCAGCTCCCACAGATTTCGGACTCACTTATTCGGAAACTTGGAGAGCTGATCATAATGTGTGGCCCCCGGGCACTTGCTGGCTTACTTGTTTGTACTTGTGTTGACTAACACCAGCGCTGATTTAACCGACTTCAGAGTCCACGAAATCCTGAACCGTTGTCTACTACACGTTCTGTTCCAAAAGACCATCCGGGTCGGCATGCTGTCTATATCTGACTTTAACGCATCTGTCCACTCTCATAGCTCGTGGCCATGAGGACGGTGTCAGCTTGGAACGCTGACGCCGCAGATGAACTGGCTTTCAGTCTGCAAAATGCAGGAACCAATGAACTGAGATGGTGACCGTTAATTGCATCACCAGAGGGAATTGCCATTAATGGACAGTGAAGCTTCACATTCGTGAGGTTTTCCATGAGTCGCAATCGTAGTATTCTCCGGAGGCATCGTCCGCCAAGTGTCTCGATCTTCCACCGGTCCGCAAAGTGCATAAGTCACGCTTCGCAACCGTAAATTAGAACGGAGTTTCCGCAAGCACTTTCGGAGTTGGCGGGAAGTTTTGCACACGAGGTGCACGTGACGGGCAATATTCTCCTGTCAATGCCCCCACGGTGACACAGAAGAACCGAGACAGACAAAATATTCTGCCGTCTCGACGGGAGGGGAGGCACTGTCTACGATGTGAATCCATTTGGCATCACTTTAGATCCCTCAGCACCCAACTTCTGGCCTAGATGCCGATCTGATGGCTCAACAGGCGTTCGGCGTCCGTTTTTCTGGCAAAGTCCTAACAGTTGGACAAGTACGGTCTGTAAAAAACACTCGAATGAGAGACATCTTTGTAATTCAGAAGACGAAAAAACCGACGCTTGTCAATAACCACGAAACCAAACCATCAGCGCAAATTTTCTTTAGTTTAAATGAATTTCTCCTCCCAAAACCTGCCAAAACATCAGACTTCAGAAAAATGTCGAAAGTGGAGTCAGAAGTGGAATGAAGACTGAGCATTAAGCCAATTCTTCGATCAACTTGTTGGTTACTCCTCCTGGTATCTACATGTATCACGTTTCGCCAGAACTTTATTATCCGATCCTCGTATTCACAACAATGTCAGACCGAGACCTGTGCCATAGAGACTCGAGAAAATGTAGTGTCGGCTCATCCCTCACTAATCGGTTAAATCGATATCAATCAGTCTAATCAAAAATACTACCAAAGGTCCGTCGCTGTTAGTCTATCCGGTTTTTACATGAGTGCTTCTCAGGGGCCCCAAATATGGACAAGAAGCCGTGGTGCGACGAGTTGTCCCCCTCACCGAGTCCCCTTCTCTCCGGTGGAGACCGTCAAAAGCCATGGCTTGATTGCCTAAATTCGTTTGTCCTTGTTTTCCCGACTGTGAGAATAGTCATTGCGAGAGATAGCGCGAGCGCTTAAAAAAGATGTGGCGCTGTCTCTACTACTACTACTACTACTACTACTACTACTACTACTACTACTACTACTACTACTACTACTACTACTACTACTACTACTACTACTACTACTACTACTACTACTACTACTACTACTACTACTACTACTACTAAACTACTACTACTACTACTACTACTACTACTACTATTACTACTACTACTACTACTACTACTACTACTACTACTTCTATTACTGAGTGTTGAGAGGAGAACTAACAACCCATTCCTATCTGTTTTCCTCCCCCCTCGGCTATCAAAAGATCCCAACGAGAAGGACGGTCTCTATCCCAAACTGTCACCTGTGTCACCCTCAGCGCCGCCGTATGCACCGCCCACCGACAGTCGTGAAAGCCTCGCTGAGGAACTTCATAAGGTTGGTGGTCGTGTTCACTTTGCTGTTGCTGTGTGTTATTTAAAAACTGCGGCCCCTATCCTGCACTTCTTCCCCACGACCCGTTCAAGCTGTCTTGAAATGACTGTGATGTTTTTCGGATTTATTTATACAATAATACCCACGTGCATTCAGCTCAGACACCCAAATCTTCGGTGTTTACGGCCACGATTGCGTAAACACATCTGTAATATCTCTGATTGCTACTTTCTGGGAAGCCTCGTATTTTTCCGCAGCCTTTTGTTTTCTGCTGCGTCCGGTTTTAGCGCAAGCCATGTACACTGTAGCGACCGACGACCTAGAGGTTGGCACAAACGCGGATATTAGGCACCTGCTGTCGATTTCCCATTCGTAAGAATACTGAACAGGTTTGGTAGGCAACACGTCGAACACACATGCCGAGACCAAAAGGAGAAGTGTAAACATGAGAAGACTATTTTCAGACACTAATTGAGTAAACGGTTAATAAGGATACCATGTTAAATAGAACAGGGGTTTACATGCACTACAGTCTCCTCTGGAGTGGGGGGAGTGGATTGTTGTGTCTGCTAGAACCACCGGTGGGGAGTGCAGCGTGCCCCCCGAACGGGCCACCTGTAAGATGCGCTGGACCAACATGGGGGCCACATCGGATTATGGCAGGCGTTATCTTTGAGCAATAACAAATGCCAACACCTAGGACCGGCGCTGGCAGACCCTGTTTTCGGCAGTCGTTGCACACACTGGAACCACTGCCACACCCTCCATTGTTTTGGCGGTCAAAATCCTGGTCATTTGTTGTGTGGAGCGCCAAGGTGCGGATCTGTCAAAGCCATCCACCTGTGGTCTCCCTCATTTCCGGTCTTCTTGGCTCTGTCTTGACACCGGGCTCAGGTGGAGGAGGAGGAGAGAGTGTGGTAGATGCAGCGTAAGTATACTGGCACTATAAACTCCCGCGCAAGTCACCGTCCCTGCTCCCACCACCTGCCCTGAGGCATACGGTGGACACCGTCGAAATCGACGGTCGAACTCTTGGGGAGTGCAGCGCTGGAGGCAACTGTGAGAGAGGGACGTGGGAAAGAATATAAGACGAACCCAACCGACGATACCTTCAGCGACTGAGAATGGAAAGAGCACCGGCGTCTTCACTGACACTTCATCATACTGTCACCATCCTAGGTTCGCGCCTCTCTGTCTCCTTCACTCAGTCAAACAACCTGTTCGGGCCGTGGTGCGTTACATGCAACTTGATGAAAAACGCGCAGATCGCATGACAAACTTCCGAATTGAGACGTTTTTTGACAGTGATGCGTCGCAACAACACTGTGCTACATATCTTTTGTCCTTCCTAGCGCAGAAACAGGTAGCAACGTCAGGCATAGTGCGCGCCAAAATGTACGAATCACCGATCATAGCCCTCAAAGGCGTCATCAAGTAGGTAGCTAGTGATTGAGGAAGGATCGAAATAACAGAAAAGCGTGGAGAGGATCTCCAGATACAGTGGCTTGTCATCCGGACTCTTCCCAGTCACTTGTGCCGAGCCCAGTTCAAAGTTGAGGACGGACAAAATACCTCCGTACTTCGGATGACCATGTCCTGAATTTTCGCGGTATTAGCTAATACCTGTGTTGTTAGCACGGCAAATAATTGCACAATTATATACTACTGGCTGCCTTTTGGCGGTTTGTGAATTTCACGCGGTTATTCCGCGTTAAAAGATGGATTTCAGTTCGAATATTCACATCAGATTTCAAACCGTGCCTGAGAAGGTCTGTTTTGAAAGATTTACTCCACGTTCGCGCATTGATTTCCTCGGAAATTAAATTAAACAAGGAAAGTTGAAACTGGAGTTCATGCACCAGAAAACACGCAAGAAAGCTGGGAGAACCACTGACGAGCCTAACCCCTCGCAGCTGCGTCAGGCAGCGGCACACGATCGGCAAAACACGCATGTCTGGGCTTTTAACTAATACTTGTGTTGTTAGTTCGATAAATAATTACACAAGGATCGAAATAACAAAAAAGCTTGGAATGGACCTTCAGATACAGCGGCTTTCCATCTGGACTCTTCCCAGCCACTTGTGCTGAGCCCAGTTCACGGTTGAGGACGGAATATAGACTTCGGTATTTCGGGTGATCTTGCCCTAAATCCTCGCCGGGGGTTAGGTTTGGGGTTAGTGTTAGGGTACATATTAGGCCTAGGGCTGAAGTTAGAACAGGAGAATAGGAACTCGCCTGGGTTTTAGCGCGAGGCCAGCTGTGGTGCTGGGGGAGGGGAGGGAGGGGGGACGGGTTGTCCACATTACCGCAGCCGACCCAATCCCAAATCTCCACATTGTAAGTGACGTGTGTTTTTCCGCTATTTGGGCGGGATAGGGTTGACGTGCTGGTTTGCATCGAATGGGTGTGCAGCACCGACTTCGTTCTTCTCCCGAGCCCCTTCGGATTCCAGTGGTTAAATTGACCAGTTTGGATCCTCACTCGCAGATACGCCCACTCGCACACTGCCACTGTCCGTGCAAATAGGCGCCCGCGAATTTGAGGATGACAGTAGCACCGTTCACTGCTGCTCAAATGACTGGGCTCAGCAATGATGACTTGCGCGCGAATTTGTTTGAATTAAGATAGACTTGCACAGCGCCTGTCGTGCTCTCTCCCCTCTTGCCCCTCTGGCTGTAATGGCAAGGGAGTGGAAAGACGGGCCGTCATTGGTGGAGACTAAATTGAGAGGGGAGCCATTGCAGCTTGACTTTTAGTCCTGAAAAGGGCTAAGTTACCACGTCATTTGGCATCCTTGCAAGCCTGGAGTCTTAACGCATCCCTGGCTGTTCGAGTGCGTCCGTGTGTCAGTGTGCCGTGTTGACCTCGGTCATTCTTCCCGTTCCCACGCATCGATCGGCTGTCCGGGTCTGTCAACCGACTGGTGATAGGGTTGGGCGCAGTGGCATACAGAGTTAAGCCACAACCGTCTCCGCGTGTCACACACACACACACACACACCACCTCGTCCCCACCAAATAACATACATTTCACTATCCCAAAGAGGACACTGTAGTGTCTTTTGGATGGCTCGTTTTACATCGAGGCCATGCAGCCACCTTGGCAAGACAGATTCAAGCTGCCTAGAGATGGGCGTTAATGCAGTGGTTGAGGAGTCAGGATTAGGATCTACGCCTACCGCATACTACTCAAACCTTAACTACCCACGCACCCAAGTTTTCATGGGAGGTTTCGGATTTTGGAGGACGGAGAGGTGCTATAGGCAGCACAGCAAGAAGGCGCCACTGCAACCCGACGAGGAAGAGCGAGTTAATTCGTCGATTGAAAACCCTTACAATCACAATTTTTGGCGCCCCCTAATGATCTAAATCACGTCGGATTTGCTGTTATTAAGAAATTAAGTGCTGGATCCGTGTTGATTCGGCTTTACCTCTCCCATACCGCCGGGGAAGCCTGGGTTGCGTCCACTATAGGGGTGAAATCAAACGGAATGCTTGAAGTGGTGCAAAATTTCCCGGTCTTGTCAGTTATTTACAGCACGGATAATTTAAGCGACAGGAAGGTGCAGGCGGGCACGACACCTCGCCACTTCAACGCCATCTCTGACAGTCAGTACTTGCAGAGTGTGAGTGCCGTAGGCGAGTAAACGAGAATGCCTTTCTTGCTCTCTCTCCCCCTCTCCCCCTCCGTGTGTGCGTGTACACCCGCGTTCGAGGGTGATTTGGCACCACAGTTTGACAGTCACACAGTCCTTGCCTGCGCACGTGAACCGGTGTGCATACTCTTTGTTGTCGGCTAGAAGCTGACGCGCGAGGCTCAGCCTGTCTTCGACTGGGTCTTCCCCCTCGCGGCTGAATGCAGACAGCGGGCGAGGGCAAGGAGTGAATATGTAAGCCCATTGGGAACATAGAGCATAGGGCTGTTAGTACTAATTTTATCAATAGGGCAGGTGGACGGAAACTGAAACCCTAGCATAGTATACCTGCCAAAATCCAATAAGTAGGCATGTTGTAGTAATATAACCATGGGCCTACATATTCAGTCATTATCCAGGCGGGTCGCCTCACCCTACTTCCTCCGCCCAGTCCCTATCAGTGTGTTTACCCCAATCCCGTATGCATTTACTGCGGTTTCCGCACAATATATGCATCTGCGCTGTCCTCGGCCTTAATGTGTGTGCGATCTCTCCGTATCCTGTGCCCTCTCCCCCTCTGTTTTCAAGCGTGGTTTGTGGGGTGGATCCATGGTAGGGCATTTGAAACAAGGCAGAGGGTGTAGATATTCGTCAATGAAATAACTCAGTCGAAAAGTTTTTCAAGAGATGACTTGTTGAGGAAGGTTGGGCGTTTGATTAGGAGCATACGCGTTCATTGTGGAACACCATTTTCTTCGTCGATCAGGTTTCATCTTTTGGGTGAATTCACATTTACAGCCCAGTTCGCCGTCTGCGATGGGGGAAGCGCGTTCGCTGACTAGGTTACGGGAGGCCTCTGATACCTTTCTACATCCGAGTACCGAAAGAGACAGGGAAGACTTAGATGGCCATTTCTGGCTTACTAACTATCGTTCAGTAATAGCGAAAAGGCTAGTCCCAGGAAGCAGTCGCTGGAACAAGGGCATTATTTGCTCGATGTTTCGGATTTGCATTCGAGTCCATCGTCAGAGGCAGAATCAGATAAGGTTGGTGTGCCAACTAGGTGCTGCAGTATTTATAGGATGCAGTTACTATGTCGCGGCATGTCTACTAAAGTTGGCAGCTTTCGAGCTCATCGTAGATATTTGCACCGATGTGTTGTCCTACGTAGTTACTATGCGCCTGCATGCCTGCAGCGTGCATTTGCAGGCATGTGGGCTCATTGAAACTGCATCCTATAGATACTGTAAGACTTGTGCAATTCATTATCCTTATCTGATTCTGTTTTTGATGACCAGATTCAAGCGAGAATCCGAAACGTCGGGCGACTAAGGCCCTTGCTCCAGCGACCGTGTCTCTTTATTCGCGACTACTTCCTGGGACTGGACTTTTCGTTATTACTGAATTATGGCCAGCAAGCTCCAGTGAGAATCCGACACGTTAGACATATAACATTCTTGTTTCAGCGATCGTGTCACTTCTTCTTCGCGATCGTTCAGTAGATCATTGGGCTTTTCAACAGCAGAATAAACCCTTGTTTCGTGCATTAAATGTGAAGGAGACGTACTTTGGTAAAAAAATGAATTCCAGCCTTTTCCGAATCGAATTATTGACTTCAGCTAAACGGAATTGGGTAGCCGCATCATGGTTTAGGACATACTGTACGGACGGTGATCTTTACCAAAGTCGCTTCAGGCAGTACCCGCGTAGTGCACATCAATAATCACCGCTTTTGACATCAATGCTTCCGCTCAGACGGTCTTCAGTACTGAAAACGCGACCAATAGGAACTTTGCAAACTGCCGCTTCCCTGTGGCCACGTCTGTCTGAAGTCCCACTTAAATTAGACGGGTAGCCCTGCTAATGAAGCCGGCCAATACCGCCCCCCCGTCCAGAAAGTCCTGTACGAGTCGGGCACAGCATTCCGGTTACTTCTTTTTTTAACTTAGAATTTTGTGTCAACACGTACCCAGCCTAAGACGACGGCAGATTCTGGGTCCTATCTCTCTGCGGATGTTTATGATTCTGGTGTCAGCGTTCCACCATGTATGTCCTAATGAATACCACTGTAAGTTGTGTCCGAAAATCGACAGCCCTCTTGGTCAATCTAGTTAGCAGCAGCAGCAGCAGCAGCAGCAGCAGCAGCAGCAGCAGCAGCAGCAGCAGCAGCAGCAGCAGCAGCAGCAGCAGCAGCAGCAGCAGCAGCAGCAGCAGCAGCAGCAGCAGCAGCAGCAGCAGCAGCAGCAGCAGCAGCAGCAGCAGCAGCAGCAGCAGGATTAGAGTCCCCTGACCCGGTCGAAGCCTTCTAACTGCCGTTGATACCGGTTCATCGTCAACTTCGAAATGAGGCGGTGTATTTGGGATGTTTAGGAAGTCTGTACCGAAGCATGATCCCAGCCCACCTGATATAGAACTAGACGCATACATACCTAAAAATAACTCGTCAGGTATGCTTGCCTTACGAGCTATCACAAAGTCCCGGGTTGTCCTCTCTGTCTTCCACTACCTCTTGAAATACTGCTTTAATTCAGTAAGGAACATAGCGACTGCGTCGTAGGATCCTTGCTTAGGAAAGGCCATTTGTTTAAACACGCTGCACAAAATAAACCTTCTACCTATCAGTATTTCCAATTTTTAATTTGTTTCGCGCTTTTGCCCATCCAGGAGACATTTTTTACCGCAATTCTTGGCTAATTCCTGTTCAAAAGTACGGCCCTGTCGTGCCTGTACCTGATTTAGTTACATGCTTCACATGTAAATCCTGGCCCCCGCGATAAAGGCACTTAGGGGCTAACTTCTGTTGCTGTTTTTTGCTTAGGTTGAGGAGGAGATCGAAACCCTCCGTCTTGTCCTAAACGCCAAAGTTCAGCGGGCGGCCGAACTGCGTCGGAGACTTGGGATGTATGATTTCGGTGTGGCCAAGGATGATATTCGACGAACAGTCGAAACCGTAAAGAACTCCCAGGCGTAAGTTCCTCGTTCTGCATGTTTTTCTTCTTCTCTTCCTCCCGCTCCTCCTACCGCTCCTTCCGCTCCCCCTCGTTCCTCCTCCTCCTCCTCCTCCTCCTCCTCCTCCTCATCATCATCATCATCATCATCATCATCATCATCATCATATTCTTCTTCTTCTTCTTCTTCTTGCTCTTCTTCCTCACACTATTCTCATTTGTCATTCTAAAATGGTAATTCTTTGTTGAGAGAGAGGGCGAGAGAGCTGTTCTCATCTTCTTCAGCTGTAATCAAAAGTTCCTAGAATTTTCTCTTTACCCATTTAGTTACCAGAAGACCACAAATGCCGTGAAGACTGCTGCCTCAAAGACCTCCGAGGTGGTTTCAAAACAATGGACGAACGTCCGGTTTGTTTTTGAAGAGTTCCTTTTATATGCTTTTGGATAGAGCAATGGGATGTTTTAATCCTCACTAGCAAAATTCACAAATCCACCTGTGTCTCGACCGTGCCACCTCGGTGCTTTGTTTGCGCCCCACCCTCATTTTCGTCCAGAAATAACCCCGCCGATGTTATACGTTCCTCAACAGTTGTCTGTCACACTGTGGGATTCGTTTATTTTGAGACCTCCCCACCTACTTATTTCATTAAGGTGGGTGTCCATTAATACGACCTTAAGCACCGTCATGATTTCAGGCATTTAAGAGTACATTTTGCGCCGTTAGTAGTATTTCATCCAAGGCGCCTCCTCCGCCTCCGCCCCGGACGCAGATGACAATTTGACCGTCGCGAACGACGATGTCCACCGTGTGCCCCCCAACATGCTGGGGGCAGGGTCGGTGACTTGCGCGTGAGTTGGACTTGCACTGCATCTACCGCACTCTCTCGCTCCTCACCCACCTCGACTCGATGTCAAAGGAGGGTCAAGAAGACCGGAAACAGGATTGGGCGCAGGTAGCTGACTGAGTTCAACAACCACCCGTCTACGCGTGCCACGCGCGCAACAGGAAGGGGGGTGGCTTGAATCCTAACAGGATGGGTGTCCCATAGAGGCTAAGCTAGGAAGAAGGCGTTGCAGCTGTAAACTCCGTCCTCCTGAGGTGAGGACTGACAGTTGACAGCCCTCCATGGCACGGCCTTTAGCACACCGTGGTAGTTTAAAAGCGCGTCGGATTGTACATAGCAGGGAATAGACGCTGAGAGGGTCGACTTTTGCTCTCTCTTCCTTCTCATGGACGCCAAACGCCGATAGGGCGGTGTTCACAACCTTCTTCTATCATCGTTGACGAGGAGCACTGGTTCCATCCAAAAGTTACTGGCATTTCACAAGTCTTACTTTAAATACCTTTGATTAGGAGGCAAGATCTCATTTTGGAGCTGTACCTGTTAGGGTTAGGGGTTTCGGTAAGGGGTCAGGCTGGGACTGGTCTACTGCAAGTACGGCAGCGAACTGAGATCCGACCGTTTAGGAGACCAAAGCAGCTGAAGATAATTTCCACTTTACCTCTGATCAAGCTAAGAGCCTAACAGTTGACCAGAGGGGGGCCTATTATCATGGTTCTGATACTGCTTTGGGGTTTCTGTGTTCTACATCGTGCCACTCCCTCTCTTCTTGCCGCAGAAGATTGTAGAACGGTCAGGTGAAGGAGAAAAACCAGATGCTAGTCAAATATGTGAAGGGAATTCTGTGCGTAACTTCTAGGAAATAACTGGTGAAGTTTCTTATGGTGCAGGAATCCTGTATTCCGGGTTAAGGTACTTCCTCCCTTCTGGGATCCAAATACCTCTAATGGTTTTTCACAACAGCCGACATCGTGAAACTAAGGTTTGGTGAATTGCCCACCTGGGCTTCACCTCATTACCTATTCTGGAAACTAGGAGGACTTCAAGAACTTGTGTCTATCACCAAGACAAGCGAATCCTCCGATTTCATTTTCTTCTATCAGTCCCTCCTCTCATACCCATTTTCTCATCCCGTTCACCCTCTTTCCTTCCCCTATTTATTCGTTATCATCACTTTCTCTCTTTTTTGTTTTCTGGCTATCTATCACTGCATTTTTTCTCGGTTTCTAACTCCCTTTCGCTTCTGTTCTGCTCGTTGTACAGTGAGTTACCGATCTCATGAGATGTTAGCCGAAATTCCGTAATTCGTTTCCGATTAGGAAGGATTACCTAGGCGGGGTTCTAATACATATTATCTTGCGGCATAATCATATAATATTTCGGCCTTGACAGGATGTCTGCTTTTGGATGCCCTTCTTTTCAATCTCCTGTAGACACCGTACTCGGTAAAAAATGACTACTTAAGTAGCATGCATTTTCCACATTGATTTCCTATGGTCTTATAAGGTTGAATATATTTTATAAAAAACAGGAACGAAAATATGCTTTCTTTCACTCGTTTGATAGGGAATTACGCCGTCTTCATATTTTACATTCGAAGAAGGAGTTTGCAGTTATGAGCTTTTTTAAAACCGTGCAATATCCATTCATACAGCATCGCACCTATCCGTTTACCAGTGCTCCTCATGAAATGTACAACGCATTCGGCATTTATTGCAAAATTTTATGGACTCTAATGATATCTTTTTAAAGACATAAAGAAATATATGATGTTTCTGACGCAGAAAGCATGCATCTTGCAGACTGTGATCACTAAGCGCTAGTGCAACGACTGATCGGGCTCGAAATTATTCGGGAATTAGAAATGGGCGTCTGATTAAGAAGGATAACTTAAGTGGATTTCTAGTAGTGATAATCTTGTAGCCTAGTCTTAGATATTTCAGTCACACCAGAATGCGTCGTTTTGAATGTATTTACTTTCTGCTGCCTACAAAATCACACTCGGTAAAAGTGGCTGCCTAAGAAACATGCGCTTTTCTATCGATTTTTGATGCCCTTATTAATCTAAACATATTTAGCAGAAAGAATATACAAAATATTTACTCCTGTACTCGTTTGCTGGAAAACTAGTCTGCTTCGTATATGTTAAAGGAAGGACATATTTAGGTGTTAAAAGGTCTTTCAGTTCACGGATACTTGTGAACCCGACCCGCCTTTGCATTCGCGTTCAGGGTTCTCAGTCTGCAAGCCATATACCTTCCATGTAGGGAAGCTCACACATTTCTCTACGCTATTAAGAAAATATCATTTAACGCTCATAAAATTGTAAACTGATGTGCGCTAGGTTGCATTCTTCATGGGGAGCATTAACAGACGGACAGATACGATACTATTTGAATAGGTCTTTCGCGGTCCTAAAAATATCACAATTACGCACTCTTTAAAACGGAGACACCCTTTTTCTTTTATAAGACTTAATCTTTATGCAAATTGCTATAACATGAGTAGAATCGAGGATATTTTTAGGCATTTTTAAGATAAGATACACTTGGAATATAAAGTTGGAAAGTGTATACCATTAAAGTAGTCATTTTTTTACCATGAGCGGTTGTAGTGGGCGGACGGAGAGAAGCTCATTTCTCACTCCCTTCTTGTTCGTCTAGTTCAGCGAATGCGTCAAAACCTATAAGGCGTTGACCGTATTGTTGAAAGGCGTTCCTCAAAATAGACGGGATTAGAGGAAGGGCAATTGCACTATTGAGAACCTTTTTACACACTCTCCAGTAGGTACATGGTGACTTCTTGGCTTTTTACTGCGAAATTCGTCTAAACCACAGTGAAGAAGAAGACATTTAGTTAACTGTGTCATTTGAATTTTGGTGGTTGTTCACATGTAATCGCGCTTTCTAGAAGTGGCGAAAAAAAGGCCACAGTTCACGTATCCAGTATTTAAGAAATTACGCCCTTTTCCAACTTAATGCGTTAAGCATGCATGCTTTGAAAAAATAAACTGCCGTTTTGTTTGCTCCGAGCGTCGAGAGTTTTTCTCAACAAAATTCATACATCACTTCTTGTTCTCATGCGGAGGTCCCTTTGTGGTAACGAAATATTTCGAAATTTGGGTTTCATTGCAACCTTTGTTAGTGCAAATATTTTCAAAAATTCCCTACGTACAACCCTTTTCAGAACCCGAATACACTATTTTTAAAAGTAAATTTGGAAGGGGGTTCATAAACTGTCTAGCAGAAGCAAAATCGTTGGGCATCCTCTCTTGAGAATATTATGGGGTTCATGCTCAGAAGACTCTTATCCCAAAGCCAACAGGCTAGCTTGTGCGTACATGAACTTTTATGCTCAACACACATGCCACCTCGCTAACATAATATTTTTGTGGCAGCACTTGTGAACCCCGACGCCAGACTTAAGATACTGACTTAGTCTTGGCTTATTTTCGCATTTCAGCCAAACTGGCGCATACAAGACTGTCGAAAACACAGTGGGCTCCTTCTTCAAAACTATCAAGGTATCTTCTTTTCGCATATACCGATTCGCTTGACTTGAGACTAGGTAGACTACGTTTTGCATACGCGTCTTCCTGCTCACTTGCTGATCCAGCTGGGATTTCAGCGTTAACGGTCTCCCGAACCAGTGCGGTCACCACCCTTACCCCATTTGTGTAGACCGGGGGGTCGAACATCCCCTCTAGGTCCGACATCCTCACATCTTCCCTCATCATCATCATCATCCTCATCATCATCATCATCATCATCATCATCATCATCATCATCATCATCATCATCATCATCATCATCATCATCATCATCATCATCATCATCATCATCATCATCATCATCATCATCATCATCATCATCATCATCATCGTCGTCGTCATCATCATCATCATTACTACTACTACTACTACTACTACTACTACTACTACTACTACTACTACTACTACTACTACTACTAATACTACTACTACTACTACCACCAGGTCATATAAACCCACAGACTTCGAATTATCCATCCACTGCGGGTGCATTACGTCGTGGAGAGACTGTTTTACGGAAATCGACGGATTGTTTGTCCTGTTCTCCTTAGGCCATTCATATGTACGACGTGTTTTGAGCGTCAGGGCTACTTTCTGTATGGTTTTTGCGCTCTCGGCATTCCGCCATGACCACCTGTTTAGCCACCTTATGATAAGTCTCGAAGTAGCCTCATATTTGGCTGTTACATTAAAACTAAAGAACAGAACCCCTCAGTAGATTAGTTAATGGTGGGAACATTTGACGCACACAGTGATCGTTTTTGCAAATTTGAGGACGCCTCTTTCCTATTTGATAACAATCTGACAGAAGTTATAGTTAAGTCTTCACTGCTCACACAAGCTCTTGTCATCTTTGGATTTTCGACCAGAAGCACTGCGTAGTGAATCCTTGAACTCCGTTGGACCAGAACATCTTACCACCGCCAACGCTTATCCAAAATGGCACGCATAAACATCGTCTCTGCTGACTTACCACCCCCCCCTCAGGGCTGTTCCTATAACTGTTTCGATAATCTCGTTCATGCAACCAGTTCGTTGTGGCACTCCTTGGTCCTTATAAGTCATATAGACAGAGTGACATTACCGAAGGAGATAAGGGAGACCGGAACGACCATTTCTGGCTTATTAGCCGTCTTCAGCCAACCATACCTAACCCCGAGGTGTGCGACGCCTGGGGCTCGACCCCACGACCTGTGGGTTAGAAGTCCAACGTCCTAGCCACGGATCCGTTGTCCTTTCGGTTGCAATTTGGTGTATATAATGGTAGAGGGGCGCTCGCCGATCGTGTTACGGGACACACTCGTCCTTTTGTGCCTTGGGGCTCTCTTTCTCGAGTTCCGCAAGCAGCCGCACAGCGGCGCGTAACATGGGCAGGATAGCATTACTGACGTTTCGTCCTTTGAACTCCAGAACATTCTAACGAATGAAACATATAGAGCATCGACCTCTCCGCACGACAGTTCGACCGTCGATTTCGACGATGTCCACCGTGTGTACCACAGCTGCAGCAGCGATGGGATCAGAGACGGTGACTTGCGCAGGGGTTTCTAGTGCCAGTAGACTAGCGCTGCATCTACCTACACTCTCTCCTCCTCCCCGCCTGAGCCCGGTGTCAAGACAGAGTCAAGAAGACCGGAGATGAGGGAGGCCGCAGGTGGATGGTTCGGACGGATCCTCACCTTGGCGTTCCTCTGTACTCGCCTGAAAGGGCTTTACAGTCGGTCGAGAATAGGGCCAATCAAATGCCTCCCCTTATTCGCCGGTTAAGATGATTAGGTCATTTAATGCGCTGACCCAAAGGCGAAATCGTCCGGGATGTCAGCCCGCCTGAAGCCTGGATGACGAGGATGTCGGGCTGTCCAAATGAGGTAGTGAGTGGGTGGGGTGAGAGCTGACCTCGAGCGCATCTCCGGCTGGGCAGTCTTCTGTCCGCCCGGCTAGGACTTCAACCGGGCTGTCTTTACTCGGGAGTCTGCAATGCGGGACAACCGTTCGTAACGTGTAGAAAGTACGCGAAGTTGGCGGGGTACTTTCTGATGAACGCCGTTAATAGTCAGGTTAGGTGACGATCACTGGCGGACCAGGCACATAAACACCGTCTGCGCGTGCCACAACACAGCTGGTTTCTCTTCCACGAGCCCATGCTCCAGTCACCTGTGTTGTGCCTCCGACAAGCAGCGCGTGCGTGCGCCTGGGTTTTGTCCCCCCGCGGTCAATCCGCGAAGGGCGCAGTGCCGATTGGCCTCGAGCCCTCGCCACGTTAACGTCAAGTCTCATGCGGCCCAAGCCATCTTTTTTTCAGGAAGCGTGAGGCGACATGTGAAAGCAGCCGCACCGATGACTGCCACAGGCCAACTAATCAGATGTCGGCCTCGACACCCGGAGTTTTCAGCGGGGTCACTATTGGAATCCGCGAATACGACCGGGAACCACATGGGCGACAGCTGTTCTCTGCATTTGTTGGATAACCACCGATGTGCTGTTGGGACTGTGCACCCAGGAAGTCGACTACCGCGCCTCCTCTCCCCCCTCCTGATGACAAGTGTCAGACCGACCGATTAGGTGGCGAAAATCAGCTTCGGCATCAGTAGAGTCTGTCTCATTATATGTATGTACTTCAGTCCTCACTGAAGTACTGTTGGGATTTGCGCTTCCGGTGTGCATCTATGCACACGGTCTGTTTACGGTACTTGATCGATTTCACCTGCGGTGTTTGTGTGTGCCACTGTGTACGTGCATGTAATCCGTTTTGCAGGTGACAGCGCTCGACGCAATCTGCGCCTGCGTGGTCAGCGCACTCATGTGCTGCGGCTGTGATTTTTTGCTGCGATAAGTTTTAGCACATGATGTTCTTCTGAACTCAGCATCAACTTTAACGCATACTGGGGACATTTCGGTCAATGCGATAATTTCAAAACGCATGGTCTCCTCCTTCTGAGCCTCTGAGTGTAGGTCAACTTGTAGGTTTCGAATTCAGTAGACACGTCGGGGGATTCTGCGCACAGTCGCGCCGCCATACATCTAAAACGGGATGCAAAAGTACAACCCTGCGTCATTACTTACTTGTGCTTGGTACGGCTGTGATAATGCCTGATCTGGCTGGCCTCGATGATATCTCGCGCGACGATCCGCGGTAGCAGATCTGGACGGTTCGACCCATTCCCCTCGCCAACGACGTAGACCGAATACCGAAGGTCCAAGAACCACCCTCTTGACGAACTGTGACGAGCAGGGTTTTGATTTGACCCCCATCCCCTCGATGCCTCCAATGGGGTAACGGTGCCGGATCGAGGGCAGCAACAATGAGCTCGTGGGGTGGGCGACGAAGAACATGCTCGAACCACCTCAGTCTTCTTTCTTGGATGGCCTGAGTTACCCTTGCGATGTTGTCGCAACGAGCGCGGACTGCCGCATTTGAGACAAAGTCAGGGTACCTCACTCAAAGGATAGTCCTCAAGCAGTGGTGGTCAAATACCTCCAGTTTTCGCTCGTCCTCCACGCGCACAGCCCAGCATTCACAACCATAAAGAAGGACAGACCAGACGGATGCATGGTACACGTGAATCTTAATGGCGATGGAGAGGTCACTTCAGATCCATAAGCATTTTCTAGGGCTTAAGAAAACCCGTCGGATAGCATAAATTCGGGAGACAATGTCATCCTTACTCTGACAATTCGGCAGCAGCCTCGTCCCGAGGCATTTAAAACTGTCTACTTCAAGTTGACAACAATTAATCCCGAGAGGTGCCTTCTCCTGGTCAGGGATGCAGCTTCGAAACACCTTAGCCTTCACAGCGTTTATGGATAGGCCAACCGATTTTGCGACCTCGTTCACCCGTGACATCATAAACTGCGTATCAACAAAACTTGAAGCTAGTAAGGCGATATCATCGGCATAGTTGAGAGCAGTTAGTCGGTGTCCGGGTGCAAACTCAAAACCGTCATCTAAGTGTAGGGTCCTCCAAGAATCCAATTCATGGGTTAGTTGAACAGAATGAACAACAGGATACAACTTCTGTCGAACGCTACACCGAATACCGAACGCTTGGGAAAGATTGTTATGGACCAGAACTCGCGCAGTGGTGGAGAGGTAATTGACTTTGATCATGGCGATTATTTCTACCGGTACATCATCTAGCGTCATTATTCGGCACAGGGACTCACGATGGATGGAATCCAACGTGGCAGCAGGGTCACCAAAACAGACGACCGTCGGCTGTTGATAGCTATGGCGGAATTCAAGAAGTTCCTGGCCTTGCGTTAACTTTGGTCGACGGTAGTTGTGAGAACACCTCTTTGTTTTGTTTACCGTTTCCATGAGACAGAATCGCCCTGAAAATATTGTTTATTTATAAGGTATGATAAAACAGCTAAGCAGTAGCCGACGTAAAACGCGAGGCAGGTGCGAGAAGCCTCATAGAAGTGAAGATAGAACGAGGTAACGTTGATCGGTTCCAGTCCGTGTTGCAGTCTCTGCCTTTTCTCTACCATTAGTCCAGCTCCTCACCACCATGATTTCATCCCCTTCGCCCGATCGAATTCGTGCGAAGGGAGTACAGACAAATGTTCTACAAGTTAAATAGGCACTTTAGACTGCATATCATCAGAACCTGAAGCCAGCAAGGCGTAGTCGTAGTCGAGATCAGTCAGTCGGTGTCAGGGTGCAAACGCAATATCCTGCGTGGTAGCGTATACGCGATCGAGAGGTCCCCTTCGTGTAGAAAGTCGTGCGAAGGCCTGCTACTCCAGCATGATGCAGCGAGAGACAGGGTAGGCGGGCCAATCAAAATCCCTTCGACCAGCCCAGGTATATGTCCCCTACTTGCTTGGCTCGTCTGACTGCCATCGGTTCTGTGTAGAGTACTAGTCTGCGGTTAATCTCGAATCACTCTTACACTTGAGTTGGCCTGGCGACATAATCGATGCCGATCCGCCTAGTCCCAAACAATATCAATGCTCATCTGTATTGTTTTTTTTTCTGGTAAGACTCGGGAGCAGGAATCCCTCACTCGTACTTCAGGTGGCCTTGTGCTAAATTCACGAAGTGTACCTATTCCCCATGCTGTCACCTAACCCTAACAATAATCCTAGATAAAACTCTAACCTCAACTCCAAAGTTGAACCTAACCGTAGTCTCCCCTGGAATTTGGCGCAAGGTCATCTGTATTACCGCGGGGAGGGGGTCCTTATTCCGGCGTCCCATTGATTCTCCTACTTTTCATTCTGCTGTCTTCCCCTTCTTATCTAGAACAAGATTACAGACAGCCCAGACTCGTCTAGGATTCAGGAGTTTCCAGCTGCTACGCCCACTCCAGCCGGCGCCGGTACTGCTGCCGCTGTCACCACTATTCCCAAACCTCAAAATGACCTTCCCCACGCCTACTTTATGGGTGAGGACGGAAAATTTGTGGCTGGTGATGGAAGCAAAAAGTAGGGGGATAGGTGCCAAGTCCGCTACGTGCCAAGTGTTCCTTAACAGTGTGAGCTTACGACACCACCCACCGAAACGTGCCTTTGGTTCCCCCCGCCTCCCCGACGATTCGCCGGCTCTCAGACACGTGCTAACTGTCATTACTTTTTCTCCATCTCATGAGGCTTTTTGAGACTCTGTTTACTCGTTATTTTCCTGCGACTTGGTTTTTGGTATGGTCTTTTTTCCTCACATGCTGTACTCTTCTTGATTTTTCTTTGTTGACGACGACTTCCTGTCAAGGGCGCGAAATTGGGAATTACCAGTGCATCCACACCCACTTCTCCAAGAAAGTCCGGCGACGGTTCGACCGCCGCGAATGACGACGTTTACTGCGTACCAGGGGGATGGACGCAGCAGCGGCGACTTTCGCAGTATAAACTACAATTTCACTTTCCCCCTCACCTAGCTTCGATAGCAGTATAAAGTCAAGACAGCCTCGGAAGAACGCGGGCGCAGTTAGTGACAAAGATAGACAACCCGTCTACGCGCGCCACACACGGCCTTCTCCTCGTACCGATATTCTGTAAAGGCGGTTCGGATCTCACATGGGCAAAAGGGCCATAAAGACCTCATTAACAGGGAACCATTGCAACTTGACTCGCAGCTCTGAGGGGAACCGGATTGCGTCCTTCAGTTGGCATTTATCAAAACTACGATCTTTAATGCGTCAGGCTTATTGTCACGAGTAATGCGCTGGTGTGTCGTGAAAATGGATTCCCCGGTGTCGGTCTCATTCTTTTCTCCAGTCAACTGTCCGAGCCTCCCTTTCAACTGGTGATATGATTGGCCGAAATTGCTGACGCGGCCTGAAGGCCTACTTACAAGGCATCTGCTTCAGTAGTTACGGACTAGCGCAGACTCCGCACTGCTTGATAAAGACTCGCCGTTTTGGTCCAGCGCGGACCGTTGTGGGAGGCGAACCATTCAAAAAAGCCTAGACACACAGACACCTGGTTTTGTCAGCGTCGTTCGGGCTTGGGCTGCCGAGATGGAGCACCACCAGTCTGTTGATGGGCTATGCTATGTGGGGGGGGGGAGAGGGTCTCCTCTTAATTGGTAAGAAGGGCCACTGTAGGAGTTCCGATCACGAACACTGTTTCCTAGGAAGGGGAAGTCCCTTTGAACAGGTGCAGGAGCCAAATGTCAGCGAGCAGGGCCGCATTTCTCCCCAACCGACGGTTGACTGTCTGCCGCCATGCCGGTCAGTCTGCAACAGGCGTCGTTTGACCTTCCGTAGTCTACGAAAAGCTAGCTGGAATTTGGCGTTGTTGAGCTCTACCGAACAAAGTGCCAGGGAGATGATAGGTCTCCCGACGGGACGAGGGGAACGATTGAAGGAATTCGGACTTGAAACCACAGTCGACAGTGTCATCCACGGTTTAGCGTTCTCGGCAGAAATACACGGTAGTATGGCGTGAGCCCGCTGGATTGTGGTTTTTACCATCGAGACCTCAAAAAGGTGGTTGGAGAAGAAGGCTTGGCCGGCCTTTCTTAGCGGATGTGACGAAAATCACGCCGCGTTGGATGGCTTCGGCAACGGTAAGGTGAAGGACCGCACTAAACTGTCGGTATACTGTGAATCGTGTCATAGGGCAATGGTGGTAATGGGGGTCTTATGGGTGGGGCAGCACGCCAGACAGTAAGCTGACGAAATGCAAGAAATCACAGACATCGGAAAGTCAATTTGGCAAACACGCGCTTTCGGTAACTCGTCATCATGCCAAAACAGTCACAGAAGTTACAGGGTTTATAACTGATTCATGACCTATTAACACTCACCTTCCCCACGCCACTCGCATGGCGAGGCGTGGTATGGTCATTGGGTCAAGGGGGAGGGGTGACATAGGTTGTGAGTGATGTTTGTATTTCGGGTACGTTGAGCACACACACTACCATCAGGAGGTTGGGGTGACGTGCAATCATCATCTGGGGTCGGCGTTAGCCACGGAAGACGGAGCGCTTGTGTCAACGTCTTCTGACAACACAGCACTGGATTGGCTAGCCGTATAACCACTGCCTCGACTGTAGCTAGCACTCGTTGGCATAGGCTTCTGGAGAAGCTTGCTGATGTCCGGTAGGCAACCTGATGACGAGTTACCGAAAAACACGTGTTTGCCAAATTGACTATTCAATTGTAACATGGGAATATTCGCAGAACACAGACATTGTTTGGATTTCTGCCGAAGGTCTTGTCATATGCTTTCGTACAGCAACGGAAATGAGCGCGTTAATTAGGAGAATAGATAAAAAGCAAATTTTCAAAAAAACAACGGAACTTAAGTAGTTTTTGAGGCCATAGGAAGTGTTTGTTGCTGGTAGTGTAATCTCTGTAACAGCCTTCAAATGAAGGCGAAGATAAAACCCCATATGACACGATCCACAGTCTAACGAAAGTTAAATGGGGCTCTGCACCCTACCTTTGCCTTAGCTACCACTAAGTCGAACTGATGAGGATGTACTCTTTTGGGGAAATCGTCCGTCTAAACGTCGTGTCGCTTTAAATTGCTGCTGAAATCTGGCATGGATTAGAAACGAATAAGAAGAACGGGAACTGCAGACAGAGTCTGTCATGCTCTACAAGTATCATTTTTAAGTGAACACTAATGGGCGCGTGACGGCGGATCGAAGGTTTGGGAGTGAGTGAGGGATGTAGATACAGGGCAGAATACATCAAATTGCATGGGAGGCGGAGAGATTAGATAGCAGAATATCATGAAAACATCTGAACGGTAAGATTTCGTCAAGAATCTGCTGGACAGGTATGTGCTACTGCCGACGCCATTGATCCATGGCAAGCCTCGGAAACTATAGTCATCTGGTCGTCCAAAGACCCCTCTAAACAGTGGGTTGTTGGGGAGGGGGGGCAGTTTTCTTGGTGTGAGGATGCTTGTCTCCACCAAGGCCCTGGGTTCAAGGACTCAGGGTTCCGACAGGTGACTGGGGAAGCCATCCATATTGCATGCCGTCACGGGTGGGGAACCTTTTCAGACAGATCGGTGCTCCCAGCCACTCCTGAAAACACTGAAAACGCATGGTCCGCGACAACGCATCCTTCGGACGCGAGGGCCAGATGATTACGCAGTTAGGCCTCACAGATGGCCACTTCATTGTCCGTGGCCAGCAACTCATATACGGACGTCGCTTTCCTCGAGGTCCGCCTCCTAGCCTTAATACTCTGATCCTTTCGAGGTTTAGTTCGGAACTTCACAGTTGATGGGTTGACATCGGCTCCACCGGGCTGACTAGTGTCAGTTTGTTCAACGGGTTTTTACTACTATGTGACCAGTGAAGAGGCATATGGTCAGTACTGTGAAGTAAGGAGGTTAAACGATTTCTTGAAGTATGCCATAGGTCCTAAGATTTCCTACTGGCAGGTTGGATACTAAGCTCTCATCAGATGGGGCGTGTCAGGCCGGTGGAGACGCCTTCTTGAGTGGAGGAAAACTGTAAGTAGGGGCAGAACCAAGCAGGAGAAGTATGTATTCACACGTGACGACATCTAGCATAGGTTGTAAAAACGGAATTTATTGGACAAACAACGTCTGTTTTTACTTATCCACAGATTCTGCAAAGGTCCTCATGTTATGGTTGAGGAGTCGATTGGCAGGGGAAGGGTTAGTCACGCTTGTCGTTCCCACACCGCCTTTATGACGGAGTCAGCGTGTTGAGGACGTTGGAGCTCTATGAGGGGTTCAGAATGAGGTGTGAACGCTATCTATATGTATAACACGCGTGTGACTGCTCTCAGGGCGTCGGGACGGCGTGCCATCACCGCCTGGAGTCGGCCAGGACAGACAGACCGCTTGTGTCAACGTCTTCTGGCAATGGAGCACTGAACTCGCTACCCGAAAAGCCACTGCCTCGGCTGTTACCAGCACCCGTTTGCGTAGGCCCTTAGAGTAGGGTGTCAGTGACCGGTAGATAACTTGAAAGGCTTCTTTGACATTGACTTGTGGTTTGTGTCGATAAGATATGCGAGAATTTAATTTGAAATTGACCGGTTTTCCCATTTACCTAGCCAAGCTGATATGTGTTTTCGTGCCCTCTTTTTCCATACGCCTCGTTGTACAACCAATGCATGCCACTTCACAGGAACAGGTGACTGAACACACATCCATGTGGCCTGCAACGGCAGTTGGTCTTTGCCTCCCAACAGTAGGAGGGGAGAGTTTGCGAAGAATACGCACAAGTTTGCCGGACGGACAGCTATCCGGAATGCCTCCTCTACGATGAACTTGCGCGGATATTTCACAAACGCTCTCCCCCTTTCTACGTTTGGGGAGAAAAGACCGACTGCCGTTGTGAGCCACATCGATGAGTAGCATGTATTCATTTAGCAAAGGTCGTAACATCAAGGTATTTCAATCAAACAACGGCTGTTTTTACTCAAATGCAAATAACAGGGAATCAAGTAAATGAGGAGTGCGAGAATTGAGGCAGGGACAGACTGGTCAGTAAGCTGTGGTCGTTTTGATAGCGACACACTGCGCCTGAGGCATTTTTTCTTTTTTAGGGAAATAGGAGTAATTTTAGGTTAATCCAGAGAGTCAGACACCGCAGAGCAAGCGAAAGAATGTGTTCTATCAGGGCAAAAAGGGTAGCTTCTGGAAGCGGCTAGGAAGACGCAGACTGAACTTCTGTCAAAGTAATTTTATTTGGTCGATACTTCAGATTCGTAGTTAAATCCACAATCAGAATCATGGAGTTGAGTGTTCATAAGATTTAGTTGATATGCAACCACACACTTATCAGAAAATAGCTGTGTATGGTGTGATGGCTGCCGGACCGTTCACACCCGTGTTGTTGGTTGACGGAATTTCACCACCAGCGTTCGTTATTGGCGTAACAGGTAGTCAGCATTTTGACTCATCGATACTGCCACCACAGAAACGAGACGAGGGACCACAGCAAACCGATTCTAGATGTTGACGGATGCTTTCCCACGTAACGAAAGTCCCAGA